CTATCTTTCCCTGTGGTTTTACACTTTACAATTATCACTTAACCTTTAAACGACTAAAGACACCGTATGTCGTCGCAGATATAAAGGCAGCGGTACGAATGACGCCATGTGGTGTCGCACAGTCCGCGTGTGCGGACGTTATTTTAAAATACATGTTTAATGTTCATGGCTATATGAAGTTGGTTTCACTTACTTGAGATGAGGAAACAGATGCTCGCCATCACCAACCAGCGCACAGTCACGGCCATAGCCTCCCCTGAACTCTAAGTTACTTAATATCCATCAAAAGTCTAAAGGCAAAAGGTTTTTTTATTAAGTCTTCTAGGGTTTATATAACCTCTCTTTGCTGATTCTTTGAGTTCCGGGTAGGTTGCCTGCCCATTCTGACGTGATTTTGGCTTCCCTCATTGGTTGCCCATCGAGAAGGGGTTGACTCTTTCGGGTCTACAGCCTCCTCTGACTCAGCGTTTTCCTCCTGCCATAGTGTTTATGACCCACTTCATATAGCTCCTTCCTCAATGTCAGCGCTATTACACTGCCGGGTTAGCATTCTAATGACTCAGGCATTCCCTGTTACAATTCTTTGTAGACCTAAACTTCCTGGTCCGTTTCATCATGGCTACTTCTTAATCTTATAGTCTAGCTACTAATATTCAAATTTTACCCCAAAACTATATCTACATGTACGTAACCTTAGCGGCATTACAGTAAATATGAAGATTATGGATCTGTGGGATTGTCGATGTTCTATACCTGTTACTATGTGGGATGTTCCCACAGATCTCTGGGTTATGACACTTGATCATTCAATACATAGGTATCAGCATTTGGGGAGAATCTGCTGCCTTCATCTTCATGGTCTAAGTGAAACTGCAGGTTACTGATTTCTTCCCAAGAAGTTGGTACCACTTTATAGCTCAGAAGTCCTCAAGCTTCTGGACTTCATGATGCATATATTTATGCTCTCATTGTTGTAATCTTTGTGTTGCTTTTTATTGTATTTGTTGTCATTTTTCTTGTTTTCATTGTTACGTCTGTTGTTGTTTGGATGGGGAACTCTTAGCAACTGGAGAATGCAGTTTCAACAATTTGAGGCTTGGAATTATTTGTAATTAACTGGTCACTCGTGATAAATATGTTGTAGCAGTTGGAGTCGGCAAACGGAAAACCCACATCGCTTCACTGTTGCATAAACTCAGTGTTTACAGACGTTGCTGGAACGTTGCCGATAGTTGTTTATTGCTGTGTAGTAACCGTGGTGTCCCTTATTACGTTACCGCGGGGGAGGGGACGGAGTGTTGATTGGCCTGTTACCGTAGCAGTGGCAGTTGCTCCGATGCTGTTATGTCACCGCTGGAGGGGTGGTGTCCTGCATAGCGCAAATACGTCACACTGCTCCCTTCTAAAGGTTGTTCGTCCTGAACAGCCTAACGATACATCTCCGTTCCTTTTTCTCTTCTCTGGTGTTCATCTTTGGCGCGCTACCTCCGCTCCCCTTTTTTAAAAATGCTTGTCTCGAGCAGTTCCATGGTCCAGCGTTCATCGATCTGTTGTATCACATTCACTCATACTTTCATTGTCCATTCATGCCGGGGAGGCTGGTGTTTCTACATTACAGGTTCCTCCTCTATTCCTTGTTTCCTTTTCCGTTTTGGAGGGGGTCGACCTCTCCACAGTGTCCAGTTTTTGATGTTCTGTAATCTGCTGAAAATCACAATATCATACTTAAATTAAGAGAGTTCTATAAATTCTTCCAAGAACAACTATTAATATTTTAGTGAGATAAAATTTTAGCTATAATTTTATCTCAGTTGCCTGGATTACATTTTTGGGATCGAATAACTTTCTTAATCATAATGCCAGTGTAAGAATTATGTTTTGTGTTACATGTCCAGATGTGGAACTGGGATATGTAGATGCGGCTACCTGAGGTTCGGAAAGGCAGACAGTGTGTGATTCCAGATGTGTCTCAGACGTACCATTTTAGTGCTTCATGTCTGAACATGAATTCCTACTTCCAAGACATCTACTTCAAGAAACATTCTTTCAATACCGCCATATGTGAAGCTGAAAAATGTTGACAGGTAATGCATATTATTCTTAATTTAGTTGACATTCCTCTGTAATTTATGGAAACAAATGAATATTCATAATTTTTGTCACTGTGTAAGAAAGCGTTTTAGTTAATTTGAAACAAAAGGAATAGACATTTATGTGTAAAGGAATACCTCAGTTCATCTTAACCAGAACACTGTTAAGACTTTAGAAATTTAGTCCAAATAAGTTATATGAAATTCTGTTTGTCTGATTGTACATGTGATTAGACGCAATAGTGTGAGAAGTTATTGGGAGTGTGTAATACAGTGACACTGGTATAGTTCCCATATTGTACTGTGAATAAGTGAAGACCATTGAAGATAGAGTGAACAGATTATTGTGTGGGGTTTGTAAATTGTCTAAACCCACAACAGTGTTGTAAGTATTTGTAGTTACGACTTGTAGGTTGTTAAATAAACCAATTAACAATCTGAACGGCGTCTTCAGTAGCAAATCATGTTACAATATTTTTGTGTTATTTGACTGTTATCCTTTCTATGTAATTTTGGCTGCTACATATTGTGACATTGACAACAAAATTTACCATGTCCTGGACCATGAATGGGTACTTTTGTTTGTATGAACTAAACAGTTCAAATGGAAAACGAAGCCTCCCTTAATAGTTAAAAGAAAAAAAACAGGGCATTTATTAAAAAAATATCCTGAGCTAAAAACCCAAAGGTTTCATAATTAAATGTATGAGTGACATACATATGTATGTATGTATGTACAGTAATTAACTGATTAATGATGTTCTGTGAAGTTCAGTACAGTCACATAATTCAAACATTCATTGAAACGCAGTTGAAACTACCTCCTCAGGCAGAACACACACACACACACACATATATGTAATATATAGTTGCATTAATAAGTACATGTAACAGGGATATTTTAACTATAATTATCAGATAGGAGAATATGACTTAAAGTTGAAATGTATTGGTCTGATATCATCATAACATTGTTGGTTATTCTTTGTACCAGTCTTTATTTTCACCTTGTATAGTGCTAGATTCTCTGTAAATTAACTTTTTGGGGTACAAAAAACATAAGCTTACAGAAGAAATTTCCTGTGTGAACAGTAAGGTCTCCAGTATAGTGTTCCTATTGATAATCCTACATAGGTTACACAATTTAATACTTCTGTCATATTGGTATTTAACAAGCTACAGACCATCACACACCAGAAGACTGCAGTATTCACTATCCCATGCATCTCAGATTGCATAAGTTTGTGGGGATTTGTCATTACTCCAATGACAACCCACTTCTTCGGAAAAGTTTGTAGGTCCTGAAAAGGACCGTTGGCTGCTGGGACGTTTGGCCGGTGAAGTAGCGCTACGTATGCCAGTAGAGACAGATGTTGGTTGCGGTGCGTGGACTAATGCTGTCGCTGCAGCTGAGTTGGTTGTCTAGCCGCAGTGCAGCAGTTGCCGGAAGTTGCCTGGTGACAGTGCGGCAGTTGCTGGAAGTTGCTTGGTCGCACAGCGTGGTTGCTGGTGGAAGTCAGGTTGTGGAGCGTGGTCGCTGGAGTGGAGAGGCAGTAGCTACGCCAGATGCCCAGTGAGTTGGGCATGACCGCCTGAGAGCTGAGGCAGCCCAGTGAGTCGGGCATGCCGTCGGAGAGTCGAGGCGGCCATTCCTGGTGCAGTGCAGAGCCGAAGACTCCGAAGACCGTGCGCTGAGGACGAACTGTGCTGGCTGATGTCGACTGATGCTGCTGGTCAGAGTCAGAGTCAGAGTCATGCTGCAACTGACGGCCAGTCAGTCTGTCTGTCTTGGTGTCGAACCCCAGCGGGGGCTCATGACCAGATATTTCCTTTGAATGAAAGTTACTGTCTTGTCTATGTGGAGCGCCCTCTCTGACGAGAGGTCGGGTTTGTCATTTGCCAGTCAGTCTGTATTAATAAGTCCACTGTCTGTATTTACATATATTTACATATACACACTTATTCCTTGCTTCAATGTACAATATATACAAGGCCTCTGTTAGTCCAGACTAGGTACAGCAGATTATGCCTTTTTTTTCCNACCCTCTTTGCGATCTGTCGCATATAGAAAGGTGTCGTCCGCAAAGAGGGCCAGGTGAACACCGTGTGTTTGGGGGGCATCATTTACATATAAATTGAAAAGTGTAGGGGAAAGGACAGAACCTTGTGGCACCACTGCTTGCATTTCTCTTGGCGTTGACATTTCGCCTTCAACCGAGACCCTGAATTTACGTTTAGAAAGAAAGGACCCAATAAGTATGGTCAAAGAGTTAGAGAATTCCAATTTTGATAACTTATACAGCAAGCCTGAGTGCCACGTGGTATCAAAGGCTTTTTCGATGTCCAAGAACACCGCCGCCGTAGACATTTTATTGTTGAAATTAAGGGTCACGTGGTCCGCCAGCCTCATACATTGCAATGTCGTGTTGTGACGTGCACGAAAACCAAACTGGCTTGCGTTGAGTAGGCCTCTTTCTTCAATATGTTTTTGGAGGAAATTCAAATTTGCTTTTTCGAATAATTTTCCTGTCGTGGACAGGAAGCTGATCGGACGTAAATTTTGTGGGAATTTCGGGTCTTTACCGGGTTTGGGTAAAGTTATTACTTTTGCTTCCTTCCAAGTACTTGGAAAATGAGAAAGCCGAAAGCAATGATTAAATAAATGGGTTAGATGAACCAGTGGTCGCCTTGGAAGGTGCCTGAGGCATTCATTTGGGATGCCCTCAATTCCGCAGACCTTTTTTAATTTCAGAGATTTTATTAATTTCTGTACGTCACATGGCCTGATCCTTTGAGGGGGGTTTTCGTCTACGGTTTCTAGCAGAGCTTGTACTCTAGCCTCCACCCGCCGTTCATGGTTATCGTCGCACAGATCATGCGGGGTGAAATGAAATTCCAAAGAGTCGGCAATTTCGCAATGGGCCATATACCCTGAGGCGTGACTTCAGCGTTACCTATTTTTGTTTCCCACCGTTCAAGTGCCCTTTTTCGGGTCATTCGTCTGATTGATTTTGTGACCCAATTGACTGCCGTTTTACACGCTGGATCCCTGGTTTTTTGCCACAAGTTTCTTAGCCTATGCTTGTATTTTATCAAACGATCTAGACCAGGTAGATCGTTNATCGTTGTTTATGTCCGAAAGGGTAACTTTACTTGTCGACAGCCTATATGCCGAAGCAATAGAGGCTGCAAAGTCGCGTGCCGCTTTATCGGCTTCTACCCCCGAATTAATTTCTAGTTTAGGTGATATTAACTCAGAGGCGAGGCTTTGAAACCGCTCCCAATCTGTAAATTTTTCAATGGGTTCCGAAAGATTCCTAATTTTAACGTGATCCAGTATGTGGAATATTATTGGTAGGTGATCTGAATCCAAAATATCAGAGACGATGAGATCAGATACTCTGAAATTTTTGTGAATCACAGTGTCTAAAGCCGGGTCCAGACTTGTTGCGTATTCCTGTATCATATCTCCGTTGCGTATCGTCCGATGCAACGCGACAAAATTTTGCGTCCAGACTTGTTGCGTATCTCCACCCCACTCCATTCAGAGTATATAAACAGAGAATCACAAACAGAAGAACGCACACTGGTGATTACTACACTCCAACTGTCTGGAGCTGATAAGCAAAGCGCGATGCAGCCGCCTACATGTCCAGACTGGCACCACTGCAACCCGAGTCGTCCCTTTAATGCGACGGGAAAAGACCGCCAAGCGAGCGAACAGCCCGTTGCGTATCATTTTCCAACGGAAGGATGATACGGGTACTGTCCACACTGATACAATACGGAGATACAATACGGGAATACGCAACAAGTCTGGACCCGGCTTAACACGTCACCATTTCCTGCAAGGGAATAATGAGTGGGGCACTGTGCCGCTGAGATTTCAATATCACTCTTATCAAATAAATCGACGAGTTTCAAGCCTGAGGGGTTTGAAACTCTGCTATTCCAAAATGGGTGCTTAGCATTCAGATCACCTGCCAAAATAGTCTTACGTCTAAAGCTTAATAGCTCAGTGATGTCAGTATCACTCCAGGCTCTGCCTGGAGATTTATAAACAGCCGCAAGCAGTACTTCACTATTGCCAATGGTATGCAGACCCCTGTCGCTTCTACTGAAACAAGGGGTGGTAGGTCGACATGGTTATGGGGAATGCCTTTTCTTACTGCAACGGCAGTTCCGCCCTTTCTGCCTGAGTGGCGGTCGATTTTATAAAAGTGGTAATTTGGAATAAAGAACCTCTCATGAGGTTTCAGATGTGTCTCTGAAAACAGGGCCACATCTATGTGTAGGTCTTGCAGCTGTTTACTGAGCTCATAGCGCTGCCTCCCAATGCCGTTCGCATTAAATGCTATGACTTTGAGGAGCCTAAGAACTGTAGTGGCCATTTTGTTTCATAAGGTTTAGAACAATTTTGGTAATGGCCATTATTTTGTCCTCCTCGGACACTGCACCACTGACCTCTGTCATAATCTGCTGTACTACAGTCACTACTCTCAACTTATTGTCGAGAGACTGACCGTTTACATGAGTAGCCTGAACTGACTGACCTGTTTCTTTCTGCAGTGCAGGGGCCGGTACAATCTGCTTCTTTGTTGTGGCTGGAGCCACCGGAACATGGTTTTCCTGAGGGTGCTGTTGCTGCTCTGCTGTACTGCCTCGGAGTGCCGCCGCGAAGGAGAAACCTGGAGTGACGATGGCTGAAGAGAACACCCTGATTGCTTTCTTGGCAACTCCAATTGAGGTGCCACAAGCTAGTTAGGGTCCTATGAACGGCTGTTCATATCCTGTTCTTGCCAGTTGAACTGTGGTTTCATTCCCTACAGTACCCTCATGACCTGGCGCCCATATCAGTTGTACTCTGTTATGTCTGACCAGTTGCATGAGGGATTGGTGGCAGTTCCAAACCAATTTTGAAGTGTTTTGGTGTGTGCCAAGTGCTTTAATTGCAGCTTGACTGTCAGATAGAATATGGATGTTCCTATATATCTATAGTTCCTATATAAATTCTCAACTGTGCATGCCTTAATGGCATACACCTCTGCCTGGAATACTGTTGTGTACTGACCAAGGCTGAAGATATGCTTCAGCCTTGTTCCATCACAATACACCCCAGCTCCAGTGTCTTATTTGTCTTGGAGCCATCTGTATACCAGATTAGTCCCCCCTTTCTATCATGTTGAAATCCCTCTTTCCATTCACTTCTATCAGGAGATCTGATCATGAAGGGTCTATCATAAATGTGTTTCAGTATCATTTTATCAGATCCCAGCTGTATGATGGGTTCTTTTTTCATGTCCAAAGTCATGTATGCATGACCAAAACCTTTGAATTTAGGTGTCCATTGATCTTTGCAACATAATCTCTAATTTCCTAACTTGGCCTCTGCTTCCATCTGCAAATGAAGTGGAGAGAGTCCTAGTAGGATTTCCATTGCAGCTGTTGGAGCTGTTCTCATTGCTCCCTTAATTCCCAAGCAGGCTGTCCTTTGCAGTTTGCTAATTTCTGCCTGACTTGTCTTGAGTTTGACTCTAGGCCACCATATAGTGGTGGCATAGGTGATTATGGGTCTTACCACTGCAGTGTATATCCAATATACCACCTTTGATGTCAGTCCCCAAGTCTTTCCAAACGTGCCTCTGCATGTCCAGAAGACTTTATAAGCCTTATTAATAGCCTTATCCAGCTGTTTTTTTTCATGTCAGCCCCGTGTCTAATGTTAATCCAAGGTACTTGACTTCACTGGATAGCCGGATCGCTTTACTGAAGAGGATTGGTTCTTTGAGCCCTTTTATATCCCTCTTCATAGTAGAGGGTACAATCACCATCTTCTTTGGATTGATAGACAAGTTTGTCCTTTTGCACCTCTGTTGAACTGTATACAGGGCTGTTTGTATGATCTCTGATACAGTAGCCGAGCGGTGTAAGGTATGCACTGTCTTCGCTCACTCGGAAGCCGGGATCGTGGATTCGAATCCCACTCAGGGCATGGATGTTTGTGTTTGTTTTTCTGTGTTTGTGTACAGGTAGAGGCCTTGCGACAAGCTGATCACCTGCCCAAGGAGTCCTACCATATGTCTAAGATCTAGTAAAACCGAAGAGAACGGAGAGTTTCATGGAGGTAGGCCTAGGCCCAAATGAGGGCTCTAGCACCAATGAAAAAAAAACCATCAGCATATCCTACTATGAAGTGGCCTGCACTGTTGAGCTGTATACAGGGCTGTTCCCATTAATTAGGATTGCTATACATCAGCATATCCCACTGTGAAGTCGCCTGCACTGCTGAGCTCCCAAAGAAGATCATCCACGACCAGGCTCCACAGGAGAGGTGAAAGAACGCGCCCCTGCGGACCCCTTCTCGCTGCAGACGCTCTCAGGATCTCTCCAGACAATGTAGGACTTATATTCCAGCTTTCCAGCATGGCACAGCTCCATCTGCATATTGCGGGCTCAATGCCATGCCTTTCAGCAGCCTGTTTTATTGTATCAAAGGAGGTTCTGTCAAAGGCTCCCTCTATGTCAAGGAATGCTCCAAGAGCAATATCCTTGGGTTCAGTAGCATTTTCTATGCGTGTTACTGCATTATGCAATGCAATTTCAGTAGATTTACCTATTTGGTAAACATGTTGATTTCAGCGCAGAGGATGAATTTTCAATGCACCATCCCTAATATGTCTACCTACCACTTTCTCCATCGTTTTCTAAAGGAAAGATGATAGGTTAATAGGACGATAAGCTTTAGCCTCGGTATAATCAAGTTTCCCGGGCTTCGGAATAAATGTCACTTTGACTTGCCTCCAGGCTGCAGGGATAAACCCATACGCCTTGCAGGCTCTAAATATGTGGCATAGGTGTGGGACTAAATGTTCCACCCCTTGCTGCAGAAGTGCCGGTACAATACCATCGGTTCCCACAGTCTTAAATGGTTTGAAGGTACCTAACGCCCATCTGTATTTGATTGATTGATTACCCAACCAACCAGATTCCAGTCTCCCCTGTTCGTTATGTATCCACATACGTCCAGGTTCTGCTGGCCCCACTCATCAACTAAATCGTTAATCAACTTTGAATCTGGGAAGTGAACTCTGAACAGTTCCTTCAGTGTTTCTTCTCCAGTTTGGGTATACTTGCCATCAGGCAGCTTGATAGAGCTGACCTTATTGGTCGCCTGTTTTGCCATGACCCTCATGAGTCTGGCATTGCCTGGTACATCGTTGATCTGGCAGTATCTCCTCCATGAAGATTATTTGGCTTTCCTTATTTCTTTATTGTAACAGGTGAGGGTTTCCTTATAGCTGTCCCATTGCCCTGTCAGGTAAGACTGTCAGAATAAATCATGGACATAAATCAGTGCAACAGGACGCTAAAATATAACATTACAGGTTCACCTTTAGGTNTTGGCTGGACAATTATGATAACAGGACAAGATGACGGCCCATTGCAACTGGTCAACAGATCGAGCTATGTCCCTTATTGTGTGTGTATTTCCGCGAAATAACCTATAGGTTCNGGAGTCTCATGTTCATGATTTATTCTGACCGTCTTACAGTGCATACATTTATTCACCTTACTCTTCTCTCTTGCACTACATTTTTCGACACTAAAGTGCCATCTTCAGGTGCTTTTCGATGTATGTCGAACTACTGCATTGCATGCCCTGTTGTCTATATACTAAAATAACAAAAATATATATTCGTCATATATATTGATAAATTTTAAATATTAAAAACATTAAAACTGTTCAGGATTTGTCATCCTTATGTCGTATCTCAATACGCGAGTCACACCTATCTTCTTCTATCGGAGTATTCTTCCTACTTTCATGTGTGTATTGTGCTTTGTGTTGTGTCTTGCTCCTGTGACTGCGTGTGTTATACTCAGGTATAACTCAGGTAAGACTGTCAGAATAAATCATGGACATAAATCAGTGCAACAGGACGCTAAAATATAACATTACAGGTTCACCTTTAGGTCGTCCTTGTACAACTCCCAATTGGTTCTCCTGGGATTCCTGAAGGAAACTTGTGTTATTATGTTACCTATTTGAAAGCATATGTATCTGTGTTCCGATAAAGACGGCTCATCAGATACATGCAAATTACTTACCAGGTATCCTATGTTATTTGTCCTTAGTGTCAAAGCAATAACCTCCTTCCTATTGCAAACTACAAAGGTAGGTTTGTTACCATGGTTTAGAATATTCAGGTTCGAACTCACCAGAAATTCCATAAGGCTCTCTCCCCTTGGATTAGTGCCGGTGCTTTCCCATAAGATGTGGTGCGTATTGGCATCATATCCAATGGTGAGTTGCTTTTTCCTGCTAAAGCAGTAATCTATGATGTCCCTCATTTCCTTAGCTGGTGGTGGTTCATCCGAGTCATATGGAAGGTAGACTAAAGCAATAATCAGCTCCCTGCTGCCTCCTCGATATGTGTATGTTATCCTTACCGCTGTTGCATCCCTAGAACAGCTCCAGCAAAGGCAAGGCATTAACATGATTCCTGATATAAACACAGGATCTTGCATTGTTATTGGGTACAGCAGAGTAAACTGTTCCCCCTGTGTTAGTTAAGCCCCTTATTTGAACCTTGTATAACAAGGGTTCCTGAATAAGTGCCATATCTGCCTTACCCACAGCTAGTTGCTGACACAGAGTTGCTGTGGTGTAGGTTAATCTGAAGAAATCTTGTGTGTGTATGTATGGATGTATTAAGTGTGTGTTGGATTAGTGATCTCTTCTAATTGGGGGGGGGGTCAATTTCCATCTTATGTCCCTCCCCATTCTTGGACTGGGTTCCGTGGGAAGGGTCCCCTGATTCGCTTTGCTTTGGTCATCCAAAGGAATGGGTATCTTGTCCCCCTCCCCCTCAGAGACCGAGTTAGAAGACACTGTATCTGACACAGGTTCTGCCCAGTGCTGAACTTCAGGATCATTCAGCACCTTAACAGTCCACTGTGAGATTCCTGTGAATATTTTGTAACCGGCCCTCTGTATCATAGTATAAGAGTCCCGGTCTATGATAAGATAAGCCTATGGTCTTTGAACTCAGATTGCTTATTGAGTACCCTCCAGTTCTCAGTATCAAGTCGTGGATTGAGGTCTGCAGTCCATGTCAGCAGCTCTTCATGATTCTGGGCAACTTTGTCCGTAGTCCGGAGAGCCACTTTAACAGGCTTGGGCATGTTCCTGGCATCAGTAGCCTTCAGCCTGGCCCCTGATTTCAGCCTGTGTTTGTCAATGGCTTTGGCGAGCAGCAGACAAGACTGTTGGTTGGCGCATGCATAAATAAGTGCACCTCCCATTAGTCTGTAGGATTTCAGGTGTGGTAGTTCTCCCTTTGGAGTCCTGTGTAACACTTCCCCCAGTGCTTCTAGAATGGAATTCTGGTCATCTTCGGTAAGCTTATCCTCAGGATAAGCTTCCTTGAAGATAGCTACCTTTATATTGGTCAGAGCCTCCTTGTAATTCCCAGAGCCTTTTTGGAGTTCTGGCCGTTTCTGTAGGGGTACTGCCCTCCTACCTTGGCCTCTTAAAGGTACCGGTGGGGGTTTATCCCTGCTTGGACGAGCCTGCATTTCCTGGTTGCTGACTCTCTCCAGTTCCTGCTTTGCTTGCCCTAGCTCTTGCCTTTTCCAACTTCCATCTAGCACATCCAGACAAGGCTTCTTTCACTAGACGGGGTCCACCTACTCCAGAGACTAGGTGTCCCAATCCTTCTCCTGCTGCAGGTGTGCTATAGGTACTAGCCCCTTGCAGTGGTATGTCAGTACTACTGACTCCCAAGAGAGAACTTTTTGGTTTTACCTCAGGTAGGTTTAGTACCACTGGTTCATCTCTGCCTTTGGCTGAAAATTCAATAGCAGGTTCACTGGTTGCACCTGGGTCCCTTAGTGGTTCACGAGAGCTTCCAGCCCCCTGCTGAAGCATTTCTCATAGGGATACCCTTGGAGGGGGGTCCCTCTTCAGTTTAAGGTCTTTACGACCGGTTTTTTGTTTGTTTTCTTTCATTTTGGTCCCACGAGTCATAGGAATTTATAAGGTCACCACCCACAGCGCCCCATATGGGTGGAAGGCATAAATAAAATGGGGTGCTGCCAGGTGCCCCGAGGGGATCAATCAAGACACTGGCTAATTTCCGCCCCATTGCCATGCAGCCCTCAGCACGATGCCTCACACCTTGGCTTAGGTGGTTTGGTCCTGTTGTCAATGAAATCCTCACAAGCCTCCAGGACCAAGAGTGCCTGTTTGGGGGGGGTATCCCAGATGATTAATGGGAGTGTGACACCAGTTAGTCATGAGGTTGCAACCAGGGCAACCTACCTGAGAGAGTCACCGCTGGGGGTGGCTCATGAGCTCCTCCATTCCCACCCCTCCACATGGGTTGGTCAGACCATTTTAGAGTGTTGAGCCCTAAGGCTTGCGGCACCATATTGGTACTCTAGGGAGACAACTCAAATATCCAAAGCTACCCCCATAGGAGTGCTCTCCTGCATTTGTCCCGGGTACACCATAGTGATACCCAAGAGTCATTATGCCACCACACGGGAGGCTCCGGTTATAATGCCATTGCCCTTTATGGGAACTTTGCCACCAGCCTGGTAGGTCATACTGATCCAGACCCCAAGACTGTCGTTGCCCAGTGGGACCATGAGGAGGTGTCCCAACACATCCCTGGTCCATGATATGTCCCCACCAAAGACACAGCCGTGGTTCGACCAACCTCATTGAGGATGGCATCATTACCACCTGTAACATGTGACCTAAGAAAGTCATAGTTACCCTGGGATTGAACCCAGGCCGCCAATTGATGGAGTTCCAAACTACCGAGACATATTCCAACTTGGACCTAACTAAAGTAAAGTATAGTACATACACACACTCCAGGGAGGAAAATCTGTAGGTAATGGAGTGAATAACGCCTAAAAGCATTATGAATTCAGAAAATATGTAATTAACATGTGTGTGAAAATGTAGCTTTGAATCAAAGAAAACACCCAAGTCATTAATACTGCTAGTGTGTGTAATGATAGCATGACAAAGCTGATATTCGTAGCTCAGAAAATTTAGCATTTTCTGTGGCAGAACTGTGTCTCAATTCCCATTGTTGTATGTTGCAGTTCTTGCAGGCAACATGCATTTTGATGGAGTGTGATATGGGAGTTCCATAATGAAACCTGTCTAAAGCATTATATCAGCTTCCACTTTGGTTGGTCTAAATCACTTTCATGCATGTCTTACAGAAATGTTAGAAGTTACAAACGTTTGGTAAAGTTTTTGTGTATATGTAAAATGGACTCTCTATGCTTGCACCTTACCTCTCTTTTGCTAGTTTTTATTGAATAAAGTACAGCCAATGATATCGCTTTCCCAGATCTCATCCTGTAAACTGTGGCTCTCATATCTGCATACAGTATCAGCATGTGACAATTTGGATTGACAGTGGGCTTTTCTAAACACCTGGTAACTTGAAAAACTGTTGTCTTCTTAGATGTGAGGCCATGAAGACTGGTAGAATGTTACCATCACTTTGGAGGAACATGCAAAGCGAGAAGACCCTGAAGATGGAGGTCTCACATTCCTCAGAAATGTTGGTAACATTCTACCAGACTACATGGTGTCACATCCCAGAAGACTGAAATCTTCGTGGTTACAGCCATGTTCCTATGGAAGATCCTAGCCGAAGACTTGTTCGCTTAGAGAGTATACATTGTAATTGCACGTACAGGGAATACACAGTCATGAGTAGATAACAGTTGGTTTTGAATTGACATGGGAGTTAGGTGTAGGAATTGAGAACTGAGAGTTGCATGTTCTGCGTTTGTCGATACTTCTGAATTGCATGGTGACAGTGAGGAGGCTACGGCTGGTACTTGGAATGAAGAGTACAGCATTCTGAGTTGTAGCAACATGTAGTTTTGAGAGAGCCCTGCGTTTTGGAGGTGACATATTCTTCCTAAACATTGGGCCATCTCCAAATTGCACGTTGCTACAATGCAGGACCCTGAACTCATTATAGACATTGCCGTGAAAACATCAAATCAAACATGGTACTCAGAATGTCTCTGTAAGATACGTAAGTTGCTGTCTGATTGCAGAGGTAATTGTAAGTATAAATTGAATAGGAACTGCTGCAGCTTTGGGGGTTGGTGAAGAGATGTTAAGACATTTCTCTGATTGATACAGTTAGAAATTTCTTGGCAGCTAATTCCTCAGTAATCCAAAAAGCCATAGTGGGCAGTTTAGGCATCATATTGATGTAGAATTCTCTATTACAAGTTTATGGAAGTATGACTGCCATAACTTGGCTATGGTAAAGACAAATGGGTTGCAGCATAGTGAAAGCAATATGACTCAGTTTGATTTGTTTCATTCTGGTCCGTCACACTAACAATTACAAATATAAATCACTCCGTCCAATGTGACCATTAAATTTTTTACTATATGAAAACTTAACACCCTTACATGTTTCGGTCTCATGTTTTCACAGCACAGCAGCCATGAGCAAACCCTGGACGATATAAAGAACCTCCACATCAAGATAGCCAGGTGGCACAATATCTGCCCCATACAAGAGGGACGATGGGAGGACGAACACGAGCCTGAATGGTTTATGAATTTTAATTATTGACAATACAAAAAAAAATTGTTTAATTAGCATCAAGAAATGTTATATAATGTTTTAAAAACTTTACATTCCCAGGAAACTGCTGTGTTTGTGAAATGTTCTATTTTGTGTACTATGCATTGTAGCATATAAGTGTACGTACTTTATGTCTAAACAACTTATGTGATGGTGATTTCCTATTTGTAGTGATGTTTGCCCTCTGAAGATGGTCCACAGAGACCAAAACATGTAAGGGTGTTAAGTTTTCATGTAGTAAAAAACTTAATGGTCACATTGGACGGAGTGATTTATATTTGTAATATGAATCACTTTCCTCCGAAACGTCGGTTAACACCACATATACACGGTGCCAAATCCCAGAAGACTGCTTTCTTCATGAATCACTTTTGTTGAAGTGTAACATAATCCATAGAATGTTTGACAGTTTACGACTAACATTGTTGCAAGATATTTTACATTCATTGTATTCAAAAATTATATCCACTGAAGCAAATATAAACATTCTGATGTATGTGAGGCTATTTGGATCTTTCTGGGTGGGATATTTGTAATTTATTTTCATAAATACTCTTCAGAGCTGATTATGCCTTTGCTTCATGTTTTAGGAAAACCTGTTCTGTGTACATCCTAAGGATGTCTGTACAGATATAGATGACACATGTAAGACGAAATAAGAATTTTACACACATTGTCCAGGGTTTTGTTTGATAGATGAATACAGGTCAGTCGACTCCTCTGATGCAGGAGAGATTGATCTGCTACGAGCCTTGCGTTGTCACAGGAAAATGCAGATCAATATGGGCAGAACATTAATGTCCTGAACAGAGTTTAAGGTTACCTGAGACTGTATGCATCTATGACAATGCAGCCAACTTGTTCAGCCTTCATCCTTGCCGAAACATATTTCTGCTTTACACCGTGCTGTCAGGAATGACTGGAATTGAATGACCCCAACTGAATGCTGATGGCTTAAATACAACCAATAAAGAAATAAAAACAAATAAAGTTGTCCCTATGCTTAGTGCAGCACTGCACTCAGAATATGTAC